ATAATAATAATAATAATAATAATAATAATAATTATTATTATTATTATTATTATTATTATTATCTCAAGTGACCATTAAAGCATGTGATACCAACGGGCATCAGTAATTTTCTTAAAGCTGCCATAAAGCTCCATCATCATATGTTGTACATATTTTTCTACCAAAGCCAGCTACTCTTAAGTAGAGAAGGAGAGTGTCGAGGTGAATGTCAAGCATACTATTTAAGGGAAATGGAACCTAATTTTCCCCTAAAATATTGTTACTAACATCGAAGCTTTCCCAAGACCTCTAGGAAGGCCCAAACCGAGAGGAGAGTTGGTTGTTGCTAAATTCTGCCAATCCATCAGAGTTGTCTATTCTCCCGCTGATTGTTGTGGGTTGATACATAGCTACGGTCGTTCTTCTTCATTGAAGTCTATCGACAAACCCAGAGTAGATTTTATTCCATAAATTTCATATCATATTTTGATACATGTGTTGAAACTAGATATAAGAACTGTTTTTGTATTTAAATGAAAACAGTTATTACAACGGTTTGCGGTATTTTATTGAAATTTTCTCGGTTTAAATGTGTTAGTTTTCATATTTTGTAGTATGCGTGTGCATAGGCTCGATTGTTACCCGTTAACTGACAGACTTGAGCTACAACCATTCAATGAAGGATCAGCAGCAAGTAGACTATGCCTGACTAACGTATGAGGAGATTGATGTTAACTTGGTTCCCGACGAGAAGACAAAGCTTGAAAAAGGAGTATATATCAAATATATATCAAATTGGCTGTTTCCAAAACCTTTGGTTTCTTGGCAGCTGTACTTTCAGGTATGTTGGGACTAAAACAACTTGAGTATGAGTTCATGATAGCCGTACTACAGTGTACTGTAACAAAAGTGTTACTGTGACCGAGGGTCTCGACACTGTTCGCGCCGCGTATTTTTTTGCGCCGATCTACGGTTATCTAAAGTTCTTTAAAAATGTCCGGGCCAGACCTACTTTGTTACATACATACACACGTTTATTGCAACTCCCAAGCTGGGTTTTTCAGTTACAAAGCCTACATTAAATTATTGTAATATTATAGTAACATTTATTTAGTAACATTATATACATATACAAGTAAATCTAAAGCTAATACAATATAAATACAAAAGGCCAGTAAACGTTAAAAACATTAGTGAACTAATACAAAAATTACACAAGAATAGAAGATAGAAACGATTCATCTTTGCGCAACATTTCCATTAAGGAGCGCATTCAGTAGGCGGAACTTAAAGGCGTTTACATTCTTAGCTGCTTTTAAGTCCTTTGGGAGGTTATTCCACAATTTGCATCCACGATACGTGAATGCACGTTGCCCAGAGGACAGGCGGCATCGTGGGATGTGGAGCAGATTACGTGATCTTGTTACCCTACTGTGAATACGAGATCGTGGGACAAACGTGTTAGCCAGATATTCAGGAACTAAATTATTTACACATTTAAATACCATTACAGCATCGTTGAAATAAAGTCTCTCCTTAACAGTGAGCCAATTAAGAGATTTTATGCCTTGGGAGATGTGGTCGAATTTCTTAAGACCTAATACAATACGGGCAGCGAAGTTTTGCACTAGGTGAAGCTTCTTTATATTTCTTTGACAAGTGTTGGCCCATACAGTTGAACAATAATACATTGTACTAAAAACAAAAGCGTTCATCAAAAGTAAGAGAGTTTTACTGTCCAAAAGGTGTTTGATCATACTGATCTGTATGTTCTGTCGAGCATGAAAAACAAACATCTTTCTGTCAGGAACTGTTCAAATTAATAATTTTATTGAGGCGTTATTACACGTGGAAAAACGAGCTGAACACGCTGGGCGAGATACACAAGGAGTGTTGAATCAAATGAGTTTCTTCTCTGAATATGTCGCTGCTTTGCTGCTGCAACAGGTTGAGAATGACATTCGTGAGTTGATCTATTCAAAAATATATTTGAAAATAACGGTCGCGATAAAATTTCAAAACTTGACAGCTGAACAAATAATATTTCATTCGAAAAAAGACAATGCATATGCAGAACATGACAAAGATTTTTAAAATCCCTTTTTTTTACTTTTAAATTTTCTTCGCGGGGATATAAGACTAGTGTTGTCATAGTTGTTGTAGTCTCAATAGTTGGAAAAACGATAAATATGACCAAACGGTAAAGTAACCTGAGTGAGATTTTTACGGCGAGATTTCAGTTCAGGTTAGCTATATTTTTTATCGACCCTTTGGTTTTCTAGACCATTTTCATTGGTTTGCTTTATGTATTAACTAATCATGTCTAAAAATACTCTACACCACAGTGTTTTGTGTTATTTAAAACCAACGTGATATCATAAGCTAAGGCTGCAGATGGTTCTCTAATTAATTATTGAAGTATAACATCCTACATAAAGATGAATGTTTAAAGTATATTGAAAATTCTGCACGAGTTGTTTTTGTTATTTTTCAATAAGTGTACGAACTCGCAGTAAGAAAAAAAAAGATGGGGGAAATGTAAAATTTTCGCTAGTAGACTTGATGGTTGGTTTACGGAGGGTCAGACTTACTATTATACTCATTGTAAGATTCGGTTTATATACTGTTTCCGTGGATACGGACACCCGTCAGCACCTGTTTTACGGGGTGGCAATCAATCAAAAACAGAGCCAGAATAAACAGACGGTTACGTGAAGCACCGCTGAACTGTTCCGCCGAAACCATTGATGCAAAAATGAAATAAGCAGAATGAAAAACGAAAATGTCGAGGAGCAACAACAAACGGTTATTCTTGAATAATCAGACGTTTTAGTGTACGATGTTGAAGTCACGAATGGGTCTTATTCTGTATTATTGTGGTCTGTTGTACTTGGTTTTGCGATTTGAAGGTATGATAAGGTCTAAATGTGTTGCACTGCTATGGTGTTCGTAATGTTTAATTTGAACATTTATAATTATAAATTAGGAAGACAGGTAGGAAGCTAGCGAGAACTGCAGCTGATGAGAACAACATTAACGAAATTTTTCTATTGTCTTTATAGAAATAAGAACTTTTTTATAAGACTGGGAAGCTAAGAGCCATAAACGATACGTTTTTATTATTCCATAATTCGGTATTTAAATTTGCATAATTGTATCATAGCAGTTTTCAAAATTGTAAATATTTCTGTACAGTGTTACTGCTCAACAAGGACATGGTTGTGTCGTTTTCTCGAACAAACATAAAGTTTGCATCTCTGTCATTCATCAACTTTTAAGTTTTTTTCATTAGACGTCTTCATTCAGTACCTATTTTGTTCGAAACCGACAATGAAACATGAAAAAACAAAAAATCGTCATCACCGTTAGAGATCAGCTCAAACACATCACTAGAGAAGTTTCTTTTTTAGGACTTTTTTTAAGTGCGGGATAAAGGATAAATACTCAAGGAAGTGCTAATTCAATCTAACCGGAAAACTCCAGTCAGCGACGCGAAACCGTGAACATGTCTAGCTTCACAATTTTAGCATATGTAGATATGAAAATAAGGTCACTTGCAAACCTGACAGTGACACAGATTGTTTGCTTACAAGCTTCGATTCTTTCGGTAACAGCTAGTCCAATGACTAAAATATAAAGCTGAAATATCTCCTCCCACAAAATGATATGGATTCGTATTCGCGCCTATTTTATCCTTTACCAAAATACCTTGTAGGCGGTTTTTATAATAAATCATTTTGGACGATATATTTATTAGATTAATTTTGAATGTTTCAGAAGCACAACAGTTCGAACCCGCGCCATCAATGGATAGAACTTTATTAACGTGGTAGTTTCAAGATTATCCATCCGACTTAAAATCAAAGATTTTATGAATATGTGAATATGTTTGATTTCGTTTGCTTATCATTTGACTGTACTGCATCTAATTAAAACATTTCGAGGGTTTCAATGCTAAAATACACGATGGATGGCTTGTCGAGGTACCTCAAATTTAGATGGATCTGGAATATTTCTACTCGATCACTTTCATTATATAAACCGGATTTTCTTTCAAAACTTCACATCGTCTCCGATTTCTCAAGGGACAACTTCTCTTTGCAACATCGCCAAATTTGCATCAGGACAATATTGGATGCAGTACAAAAGCAAACCATTAACGTTTCCATTCAACACCTCTCAGGAAATTTTTTTGTTCGGCCTCATAACTTACGTTGAATTGTTGTCAATAACTTCCCTTTTTTTCTTATCGGCTTGCTTTCTGTAACAAGCATCGCGATTTTTTTGTTGCAACAAAGGAAACAAAAAAAATAAGGCTGGAAATCGAAAACGAAACTAGCAGAGGACTGAGTCAGGCACTGAAGGTATTGCACGCACATTTTTAACACTTTTGCTTTGCTTTCATCAAAGATGCACCGTTCTGCTTAGGAACCAATTAGGAAAGCTTTCATAGTTTATAATGAAGAGAATATTCTCTTGTTTATCATGGACTATGTCACTGTTAATATGAATATTCAGTGGTGTAAATACGAATGGCTCGTTCGTTACGAAACCGCTATTCGAAACTTCTGGAAGAAACGAGTAATTATAACTTTGTTAACACGGATCTGATTTCGTCTAACGCGGTTACATGGATAACAATTACTCCTTGACACTACAGCAATATTATCAGCTCTTTATTTCGTGAATCGAAAGACTGTTCTGATTAAGATACAAAAGAAATGTTCCAGCCGCTCATATCTTACCAATTAGATGAGAGCCGCAGGTTATGATGATTAAAATATTTGCAAAATGTTTGTGGGAAAAACCTGAGAACACTTAACTTAAATGATCCGCATGTCAATTTCTGAAATATTTCAATTTGTTTTTAGATGAGGTGTCCTCTAAGTTTCTCTCTGTAGCATCATGGGGCAGTGAGTATCCCAGGATTGAGGAAGTAAACGTTTCTCGGACCAGTCCTGCTATAACTCCAGGAAACTCTCTGTTAACAGGTCACCCTGAAAGTGGCAACGAAAAGAAAAAATTGCATGGAAATGGTTTATTTCTGAACGATACTTGTTTTAAACCATTACAAACGCTTTTCCTAGTGGAATCAAGCATATTAGCTCTCCCTCTCGCATATGCCATAATTACCACCTATCCAGGGAGGTTTCATTTCCGTGGCACAGCTGGAAAAGCCATGTCAAGATTCTGTCGATATTTCCTTCTGAGGCCCAGGAAAGATAAAGTAGCAAGCAATCTTGTACCTCTGACGGACATTATCTGGAAACTCTCGAAAGGCTTAGCTTATTTAGCGCTTGCTATTGTTTATTTATTTTTTCTGCTACTCACTATTCTAAGGAAGTCGCTTAAGTTGTCAAGAAAAAAGACTAAACCTGTATTCTGTGCAACGGGTTCTTTATCGTTCTCGAGTCCAAAGATCTTTACAAAACCACTGGAAACGCTTTTCATCTTGGTAACACTCTTTGGTTCAGGGCTTTCGTCGCTGGATCCGAGCAGGAACACTTCTTTAGAGACCGAGTTGTCATTTTCACCAACGCCGACTTCAAGAGCATCAACAGCTTTATCAACAAATGAGACAAATTCACCGTCATCATTGCCTTTATTTTTGCCATCATCTTCAGTATTTTCTAACTCAGGGCCATCCCTACGGTCTCAGTTTTCATCAACGTTATCGTTGACAGCATCAATGATTTCTAAAACCTTACAATCATCGGAGCAATCGTTAATGCAGTCCGTATCATCATCGCCGCCAATAATGACGTTGTTGTCGTCATCTTCAACGCAATCCCCTCAAGTATTACAATCACCATCAGCTTCACTATCGACACCGCTCTTACGGTCATCGTCTTTTATACCATTCTCTACACCATCGCCAACGCCACCATCTCCAACCCTAACCCCATCCCCATTACTATCATCGACATCGTCTCTACCACCATCGTCCTTTCCTTCACTATTACCATTATCAGTATTATCATCATCATCACCCCCACCATCATCGTCTCAAGTACCATCCCCCTCGGCATCCTCATCTCACTCTCTATCGCCATCTCTAACATCATTGCCATTAACGCTATCGCCACTGCTATCATCATCGCAAACATCATCACAGGTACCATCATTACCATTGCAATCTCCATCTCTGTCTCCCTTTCCGTCTTCGCCTCATTCTCAATCTCTGTCTTTATCTCCATTTTCATCACAACCACCATTCCCCTCACCATTGCAATCGCCATCGCCATCGCCATCGCCATCGCCATCGCCATCGCCATCGCCGTCGCCGTCGCCGTCGCCGTCGCCGTCGCGGACGTCATCGCCACCGCCACCACCATCGCCATCGCAATCGCCACCGCCGGCGCCATCGCCATCGCCATCGCCAATGCCATTGCCATCGCCATCATCCTCCTCGTCACCACCAGCATCATCATTTCCACCACTGTTGCCACTACTATCGCCATCTCCGTCATCATTTCCATCTTTTTCTCAATCTCCATCGTCATATGCATTTCCGTCTTTGTCTCAGCTCCTGTTTCTGTCTTCATCGCGATCACCATCGCCATCATCCTCTCAGAATACATCACCAATACGATTTCTGTTCCCTTCATTGTCGATAGCACCTTCTACTTCTTTTCCGTCATCAGCGCCATTATCTCTTCCTTTTTCTTCTCCACCTTCTAAACCGCTTCATTCATCGCTATCACTAAAATCAGAGACAATTTCGAGGCATTTACTGTCTTCAACATCCTCCTCAAAGCTGTCCCTATCGTTATCATCACGATTTTTATCCCTGATCCAGAGTAAATATGTTGTAATGAACTTATCAGCCACATTAACTTTAAAATCGAAACACTCTTCGTTAATACATGCCATCCGGCCAACAGGATCGTTGATGTTCTCAGTCTCTCAATTGATCTCTGCGAGTGTAATGTCACAGACGGCTAACCGGACTTCTGTTCCAACTAAGTCAAATGTAATGAGCTCTAGATCTGTGTGGTTGTCAGAGGCATTTATATTATCTTTACCATTGAGAAGTAACACTTTACAAGAGCAACGATCGATAGTTTCTTCAGTTTCTCAAATGGTAGCTTCGAACCTTACGTCAAGGACGGCTAATTTAACTCCTTTGCTTACCAGCTCGAGACAAGTGGAATCCGCGTCGTCCACGGTGTTAGCAACAAATATCCCGACTGAACCAAGTGCTCCAAATGACACGAGGGTAATTGATGTGACGGTCTCGTTGATAAATGAGGAATATGACAAAGATCTGTTGAATGAAAGTTCAGCACGTTTTGTGAATCTGTATCAAAGGGTAAACTATACGGTAAGAATTCTCCTTCACCTCTTTACTGAAGGTATTTCTATTTTGTGATAAGTCTTTTGTGATAAGTTTTTTGTGATAAGTCTTTTGTGATAAGTTCTTTTGTGGAAGTCTAAATTTGACATTTTATGGATTGTATCCACTCAAATCAAGTTGTTTAATTGTTTTCCGTCATTCATTTAAATTGATTTTTTTTTTAACTCTTTTAACTGATTGGTTAATACTTGACTACTTGAATAACCGACCAATTAAGAATTACAGCGTAAATGAATGAATGACTAAAGAGCCAATAATGAATTATTTGCAATTGATTTATGGATTAGTCAATTCTGGGTTGATTGCTCACCCGTTGTTCTATTTTCTGCAGCTATGGGAAATTTTTTCTAACGATGTGTCGGGCCTGAAGGAAATAGAAATACTTCGATTCAGGTTTGCACAAACGCTATTGTCTTGTTAGTAACCATTAATATCTATAAAAAGAGCTTATTTCTTGGTCCTCTCCTTTTATCTTCACAAATCAATCGTTTATTCACTGGTCCACGTTGACGCCAGCATAGATGATCTGATTGAAGGCAAATGAATCAATTCTAATTAACTCCGGGATTGTAGAAATACTTAAGACTGAGAATCATGAAGATCGATATAACATATAAGTGATTTCTGATTTAGTTCTGACCTATCCAACTTTGATTCATTTAAGAAATGGAAGCGTTCTGGTGGACTTTCGATTGTTTATGGACAGTACGTCCAATACGACTATACGTAGAGTCAATGAAACCCTCTTGGGAAAAAATGGTTCCAACACTGAAGGATTCATTTTTGGGAAAATCCTCGTTACAGGTAAGGAGTTAATTCCTGTTTTACCTTCTCCACGACACATTTAAACTGCATGTACTTCCCATAATCCATGGGCAAAAGTATATTTTTTCAAACTATCTGGACTTGACCTCAGATTGCATTTTTCTCGCACCATATACAGTTTCTTTTATTATTGAAAAATTTCCTGATCTCTTCATTTTGTTTTCCTCACAGAGAAATGTTCTGCTGGATTCTGCGCAAATGCAGGTATTTGTGACGATGGTACCAACGGTCCAGTGTGCAGGTCAGTACTTCATTCACCAAATGCCGTCTTGTTTATAAAATTTTCCGCATCTCTGATCAGTCGCTCATTTTATGTCGACGTTAATCCAAACGCCTTTTATCAGGCGCTCCGTAGGTCCAGTTACAATTCGCCGTTAAGGCCGTCAAAGCACATGCACGAGAGCACATGTGTAAGCTTCAAGTTTCAATTGAAAAGAGTATAAAAGCACTTTCACACCCTGTTCAAATGGTTTTTACCTGCCTTTCACATCGAAATGAAATTACATGTGAATTGGTGTGAGAATACAGAGAAATATAATTACAGCGCGGATGTATTGTATAGTGGGGAATCATGCGACTCTTTACTTATCTTAATATGGATCCATTCAGGTGCAGCAATGGATTTTTGGGCAACAGATGTACTCAAAGAGTAGGTAAGATACAATCTATCGCCAAATGACAATAAAACTCTGTACATTTATAGTTATGTGCAGACCTTTGCGATCTAAGCAAGAAATTTTTTTCCAAAAGCAAGAATCCAAGGTTAAATGCTTTTAAAAAATTTTTAACAGAGCCTGTACATGGAAACTATTCAGAGTGGTCCGAGTTCACTGACTGCAGCAAAACATGTGAAGGTGGACAGAAACACCGCAGGCGTACTTGTTCTAATCCTTCTCCTCAACTTGGGGTTAACGACTGCGCAGGACTGGGACGGGATGTGGAATATATAAACTGCAATAGCGACATCCGCTGTCCAGGTATTCAAAAGCCTGCGTAATTCAGGAGCTTTTTGCAGTTTCTTTTGCTTGAGGCAACCACTTGTATTGTTTCTCCTCTTTAATGAGATGCTAGTCAACCAAATGACAACATGTTGTCAAGATTCTCGTCAGTTTAAGCCTCCCATTTCGACCGAGTCGTGTCCTGCATAACGCAGCAACTCTGGCCGGGCCGGAACATGCACCGGACCTCTTGAACCGAAGTCCAGCCTAATAACCAGAGGGTAACAGTTTTTACCTGGTTGTCCAAGTGTAAGGTTATACAACTTACTGAGAAATCAGCTTTGCGCCCTTGAGGACTGGGTCATCGCGCTTCTCTCTACCGTCATTTTTTTTTTTTTTAATCAGCGTTGATCATGTCATTCTGTGTGAGTTTATAGTCTCAGTGCTGACTGCTACTGTTCTTGTTTTCAGTTTCAGCTGAGGTGTGGATAGCTGTCGGAGTCGCCTGTGGTGTGTTTTTCTTGATTCTTATTTTTGTCGTCTTGCTTCTGCTACGAAGGCGAAGGAAACAGGCTGAACAAAGAAATGGGTGAGTATACGTTAAATAAAACCAATGAGTTAGGAATGACACAATGGTTTGAAGAAACGACCACCAGAATCGAAATATGTAAGTGACACGGGTATAAAAGGGCTTGGCTCCAAAGTCAAATCAACCAATGAATGAATGAACCCTCCTCCCCCCCCCCCTCCACTCTCAGGAGTGGCAGAAAATTGACGCCAAGATTAAAGACAACCTTTTCATTTCAGAAAATCTGCATCCAATGAGTATGAGACAAATGGACACGGTACTGTTGTACCACTCGAATTTATCTACGAAGACAGAACAGTGCCTAATGCCAGTCCTAAGGGGCACCAAAATCCAGAATTTATTGGCGACGACGATGATGACAATGATATTTACAAAGCTCAGTTGCTGTTATTTCTCAAGCACTCACATTTTATTCGGAGTAATCTTTACCCTGAAGAACAAGACAACATATCAGATGCTTCAGAACATTCTAAAACAAATTCAAGAAAACAATCTGCAGTATACACGACCAACGGTAAAGTCCAAGAGGACGAAGACGAGCTGGCTGATGTTATGGAAATAAATCACGCCTCCAAAAGTGACGTAAGTTTTAATTCCTTTTTATGATGAATAAACTACAAGGCTCATGGCTTACGAAGCTTATGGCCTCTTAACCAAAACAAATCATTTGGTAAAAAAAATGGAGGAAAATCACAAATATGCTGAAATTTACTTTTTAATGAAAGTTTAAACGCTTTGTTCTTTGTAGAGCCAACTGTTCGCGCCACAACGAGAGGGGTTCCCTCCAACAACAGTCCTATGACCTGGAAATCAAAGTCTATCTGCGAAAAGGTTTATGGAAACTTAGGGTGGGTTACCCTGCAGGTATTAGCCACTTTGCGTGTCGTCGTCGAACGAGCAAGAACTGTAAAAAAGCCCTTACCGTTTTATATGAACATAGTAAACTTACTGCAAAATACAAAGTCACTTGTGTTCGACTCTCTGAACGGAGGGGAACCTTCAAGGTCCCTTTAATGCGCTTAATGTCAAGTTGTGGGATGAAATGTTTGCGGCGATCAATTGTATTTAGTGTTTTTTTATAGTTAAGGTCATTACATTATCATCATCATAGTCATATCGAATATTTTCAGTTTTTTATATCAATTTTTAAATTAAAAGCCTTGTTTTCGCTAGCTATTTAAGGAAACGATTGTTCTTAGACAAGTTTACACGAAAAATAAATTGAAAAAACGAGTTGAATTTTTTTGGAATAAAAGACGATTGTGGTTGACGTTTTCAACCATTGACATGTAACACAGGAAAATAATATTTTCTATATTAACTCAAGAATAGTCATATTCTACTTTGGATGAAACAGGTCGGGATCGTATTCTGCGTTAATGACAAAATCTACTGGCCAAACTGGCCTTATAAGTGTTAACTAAATATCGATATGCAACAGTCAATAAACTCAAGTCCTTGATACAACCAGTAGTTCCGCAAACCAGTTTTTAATTATTTTTCAAGCACACAATAATAAGCAATTATTGATGAGGTTGAGCACAATATCATAATTTTTTTCCCAGTTCGTGAACGGGCGGTATTTTACAAATCCTGTGATCTGATTGGTTCCGAGAGCGGGCACTATTCTCCCATCCGGCCCGCTCTTAGCGGGCGGTATCCGTTTTGTGTTGAGTCGCTTTGCAGATTATCTCTAGCTTTGTCGTTACTTTTCACGAATACATCTTGTTTTACCGGCTAGGCAGCATTTTAAGCAATCACTCCGGTCACGACCTTTTCTCGATAAATAGCATTAATTCTCGCTTCTCTTTCACTTTAGTTTTTCCGAAAAAATTAATTTCGGAATAAGTTTTGTGATACTAAGTTTGTTTAAAAAAAGATCGAAACCATTTGTTACCTCACAAAAGGTAACTCGGAAAGTAAAAACGAGAGGTATTTGCAGTTAACAATTACATCAATCAATGTGACTCTCATTCTTTTAATACCTGAATTCCCCTAAAAAAAGATTTGTTCGTCGGTTGAGTGAAGTTTTGAGATCTTCTATAAATACACTTTCGCTTATTGTTCGCAAGTCCCTTGGTTTTTGAAAATTCCTACCGTAATTCTCACAACAGAAAGCGAAGGAATCCGATGTGAGAAAGTCGCATCAAATCCTCGTGTCTAGCTTGAAAAAGTGTTTCATTTGACTTCAGTTTTTCGGTAGGAAGACACGATTTACGCGCACCATTGCAAAAGACAAACATGCAGACTCACAACTCCAAAACACACATTTTAATTCACTTAGAACTAGACTTTTTGTGACATTCAAAACTGAACAGAGGTAAATCTTCTAAGATTAATCGTAAGATCTCCGAGTGTTTTTTCAGAGAAGATCATCGCTGTGGTCATTTAACTCGCTTGCATTTTCTAAACAGGTTCTGTTGTTCATTCAAAGTGTACACACGCTTAACTTCCTCGCCAATGGACAGATATCAGATCGTAAAAAATACTTTTCTTTTGTAAAAATTTTCAAAGTTGTTTGTAAGCTTTTAAGTTACCTTTACCATTACGTAAATAAAGATGTTTCGGTGAAGCCTCTCTTTAATTTGAACAACCTCTGTTTTCTTTATCTCGCTTAAAATGGTTCAGTTTATGGGTCTTCCCCTAATTAAATTTACAATTGTAGTCCTAAATCATAAATAAAAATGTCCTTCACCAGTCTAGGTCGTTCCTTATTAGGAAAAAAATGTGCCCTCTGTCTTGAGTACCACCCTCGGGCGGTATCCAAGCCCTTGCCCTAGTCTAGAGCTAAAATCGCACGGAGTGTTAAGGAAAAACCATGTTTAAATTCTTAGTGGCCAAAGACGAGGCGAAGAGAATTAAGTCAGTGAGACACAAGAGTGAGTCTGCACCGGCTTTATTGAACGTCATATTGTGCCGCAGTAAAACTCGAGTGACATACGTATATATCTCGTAATTTCGTTGATATGTATGTACAAGGGTCGCTATATTGCACCAAATGCACGTTCTGCTTGAACAGAACAGGCAACAAGGGAGCGCATCACGAACAAGCGCTTAGCGTTTGTATATTGTTTTGTCAGCAACACATCGCCGCAGAGGGTTTCGGCTTCAAAAGGGAATTAAAGAAGTCGATTGGTAGTTGCCATCTTGGAGTGAATGATCACAGAACACAGAACACAGAACACAGCATCGCCAAACCAAGGGCCGGCGCACAAGGTAAAAAGAAATGTTTTCAGTCGGAAACTGGAATTTCCAGTTTACACTCAATTTACACTCAACGCCGCAAGTCAAAGGTTAACTTAACTCCTTATCACAGTGGAAGTGACTAACGTTAAGAACACGAAAGAATATCACACTCAGGAAATGAATCATTACAGCGGTTAAGATAAACATGACATTGCACTCTTTACCCAGAATTCAGCTGAGTGCTGAACGCGTTCACTCAAGAGTCAACGCGTTGGCTTCGCGTCTTATTGGTCGCTTATTTCTGAGCGATTCTGTTCCACCATCAGCTGAGTTACACTGTATATTCAAAACCTAACAACAAATAGTTTATACTGATGCTGCCGTAAACACGAAATGAATGCGTCGGTAATAAAAACATGATGGCCTGCCTCTAATAGAGAGTAGCTCAAATACATTCAGTCCTCTTTGAAATCTGTATAAATAAACTTCTAAAAGCGGTTATTTTCACGCGCGCCGTTCTAATAAGTGTACATGCTAATAGGAATGCACTTTATGTCTTATTGTACTTATTTCTACCTAAGTTAATCAATATTAAACCCCGATAGGATTAGTGTTTGTTGTTATGACACTCGACATCGTAGTAGCGGCAAGATTTTCCAGTTCCAGGGTAGCCCGGTGAGCCATTTGCGTGAGAGCACTGGTAGCAACATCTTCAGCCGAGGCGGCATCTGTACCATGAGAGTTATTTGTATGAACTCCGTTCGTTTGCTCACCAACTTGATGATCTGTTGGAAAAACAACAACTAGTTTGATACAAGATAAACTGAAACGTTTATGTTTGCTAACGCTGGTTATAAAAATGAGGACCTAAAGGCCGCTCTTTGATCGAACGGCAATGACAACAATTACAGCCAATAACTACATAAACATGTGCATAAACATGTGCATAAACATGTGCATAAACATGTGCATAAACATTGCTTTGTTTCGTTTTGTTTGTGTTTTTCCATTAACCGCCCTCCCCCTCTCCCACTATAGAAAAAAGAATAAGAATGCAATAAACAAAAAGTTTGATTTTTTTTGGAGAGGCGCGATGAGAGAAAGCGTTGATGATCATGCGCGCGTTTCTCTGAGTCTCAGCCCCAGACTTGAGCCAGATCTTTTGTGCGAAGACCCCGCGATTTTGTGAGCCCAATAGAAAAAAAATTAAATAATGTAATGCTTTATTTAGTCAAGTTATTTTTTAAAATACTAACTTAACATCTGTGCGTTTCTTTGCTGTGCTATTGTGACTGGACAGTCTTTGTGCGCCAGAAGAAGGGATTTTAACTGTGCAACTTCGGTTCGTAAAAGTGTTATTTCACTCTGAACAAACATTAAAGACATCGAAACATTTGTCAATGTAAAATGTAATTACCAAATACGTCACATGAAAGTAATCAGAAGGCAATCACAACTGAGTCATAAAAGCGATTCATAGGGCCCGGTCATATTGTATAAATTGAGTTTCTAAACCCTAGAAACCAACATGGAGGCCTTTGATGTTTAAACAAGCACGATCCACACTCTTAGATCTGCTTCTGCATGAGTTGGAAGTCGTTATTCACTGATTTTTTACGACGATAAAGCAATTACTTAATTGAAATGCAAAAACATTTATTAATTTGCTTGAATAATGTGCCGTTACCGTTCCATGGAATTAATTGAGTCACTGTTCAGTTTCAAATGTTTTAAGGATCAAAAGGAACGGTCCTTAAGGTGGCTGAACACAGTTTTTGATACCTTTGTTTCTTTCACCATTTTCTCTAAAACCCTTGATCTCTCGGTCACCAAAACTGGCAGCAAGCAAGTTAACAACCCAAACTTTGTTTTTTTGATAGTTAAGCTGACGTATGTGCTGTTTCCATGGCGACGTGAATAGATATAAACAGGCAATTTAAATCGGTTTTGTTTATTTGTAGAAAATCTAGTCATTAGATTTTCTTTAAAACTTGCATGCAACAAGCTTGTAACGATACAAGTTAACACCATTTTGCTAACAGAGAGATCTTCAAAGAGATCTTCAATACTCCAGTTACTTATTTCCTAAAGTACTTTCGTGCCAAATTTCGTGAAATTCTAATAAGTGGTTCTCAAGAAATGGGCATATTTCCGAGAAAGCAATTTTTAATTCAGTCGCAATTTTTTTACTTACTACGCATGCGCTGCATTTAACTGGGTTCTTTCAGTAACTCTCAAAAAAGAAACGGCAACTTCGAGTTTAAATTTACAAGACATGTTTCGACATTCTCGTGTCATCTTCAGTTGCAAATGAGCATTTAACGGTTGTACATTTGAATTTATATTAAGGTGCGTTACAAATTACGTGTCAGGGCTTACGTTACAATTTGAATATTACAATTTGAATTTTAGCTAGCGCTAAGAAGTCACGACGTTTCGACCTCTCTGATGTCATTTTGGAATACAATGACGCCAGATACAAACGGTCACTGCTGATCACCATGCTAAACCCTGCGTTCCAACTCTCGTCAACGTGGAACTTTTTTCATGAGGAATGTGAACGCCTTAAAGAGATCTTCTCTCGACTGCGCTATACTGACGACCTTGTGCAGTCAACCATTCGCAGATTCGTTGAATCAAAAGTGTCTGAGGATTCACAGACCCCACTGACTGATAAAAGAGAAGCCCCAGTCAGAATCGTGTTGCCCTACAAGGACCAGAAATCTGCAAATTTAGTACGAAAACGGTTGGCTGACCTCAGTCGGAAGATCAACGTTTATACATGTAAAAAGATCAAGAATGAAATTAGGGTCAGGGAAGACAAACCGCCTCTTGTGATGCAGGCTATGTCGGCTACACGTGCCGACACTTACACCAACGAAATGAAGAACACAAAGGATCGGCAATTGGACACCACCTCAGGGATCCGCACGACTTGGAGCCAAACGACATCACACAGAATTTCGAAGTGTCGAAGTGAAGGAAGTGTCAGAACAAATTTGACTGCCTTATTTTTGAAATGTTTTTTTTTTATCAAAGAACTGAAACCAACGCTAAACAAACAGTGCGATTCAATTCGCGCCAAACTATTTGTTTAGAACAATTCGTGCTTCGATTATTTTAATCTTTTATTCTCTTCCATTGTATATTGTTTACACTTTTTCACATATTTTAGCGTTCGCCACATTTTATCGTCTTCAACTTGCTTCAACATATTTATGCTGATTTGGAAAACTTACTCACTTGAAAATGACCTCAGAGAGGTCGAAACGTCGTGACTTCTTAGCGCTAGCTTTTATTTCAAAGTCGATTTCTAAGAAACTACTTATTAAGAATNTTGGAAATCTTGGCAAATCTTAAATAGTAATAATAATTATAATAATAATAATAATAATAATAATAATAATGCAGGATAATAATCAGGATGCAGTGCGCTGGCCCAGAGCAAGTATCTCTCTAGACACGACGCAGCACTGAAGGTACTGTTTTACCAACTGTTGTATGATGAGGGATTTATAGACGAGATACCACCCTGGTACTCACCCGACAAGCCGAAGCCCGTGTATGAGTCAGAGAATGTTAAAGCTTATTGGGATGTCCCTATATATGCTGATCAACAAGAGGTCAGATGCAATAGGGTGGATGCACGCATTGTAAATCATATGTGCAAGAGAGTTGTGACGCTGGAAATGAGCTGCCCGTGGGTTAACAATCGGACAAGAAAGGATGAAGAGAAGACACTGAAGTACGGACCCCTTCGCTGGGAACTAAGGCAGCAGTTCCCAGGCTACGAGGTGAAGCAATATAACATCATTATGGATGCCCTCGGGGGGTGGTCACGGGAGCTGGATGTCATGATGCGCGAGCTGGTGGGAGGCAGAAGCACAGACGTACTGCGAAAGATGCAGAGGGCAGTGCTCTCGGGCACGCTGAATATTGCCCGGACTTTCAAGGTGGCAGTTTGAGTTCCTGTTAAAAGGAAGACCGTAGACACAATGGAAAAGCTTTTTAGGATTAGTTAATGTACATTTATTTTTTACTCCATGGCTCACAGGTTACGGTTTTCGCCCTATGCTGCTTGATTAGAATGTAGTATTCAGTTGATTTCTCTGCGAATATAATAATAATAATCCTTGTGCGCGCGCTGAATTGCATCAGCAAAAGCGCGCGCGAAAACTGTGTTCAGCCACCTTAAGTCAATTCGAATCACACGGCACACACAAAAAAGGAAAAAGCGGAAGCGCATTTCATTCCGCACACCATACCTGTAGATGAGCATTCGTATTACTGAGGTCATCTGCTTTTTTCTCTAACTGCTGCACCCAGATTTTTCTCTTTTCGCGGCATCTAGTGGCTGCAGCTCTGAAGGAAACAAGGACAGGTTAATCAAATGTGAACATGATGTAAAAGCGTGATCAATTCAAACACAGAAACGGCTGCTACCGATGAACAATTTTGTAAACAATTGGTTTTCTTAAACTTGAACACATCAATTGTAACGCAAGTTAAATTCTGATGCAAGGTCTGCTCTTTTCTCCAATCTATAACATCCAAAAACATCCATAACATCCAATAACATCCATAACATCCAAAGTACGTACATGTACTGTAAGCATACCAAGTTTTATCTGTGAATACTCACCGATTTCTTTCAAGGAAGCGCTTTCTTCTCTCGTCAGGGTCCAGTTCATCCTGTGTTCTTCGTGGGCGTTTTCTGCATAAACAAATTTTTTTATTTTTTTTTTATCTCATGAACTCTGATTGAGGAAGTAAAGAGGATGAACATGAAAGACATGACTAAAACCTGGCATGTCCTATGGCTACACAACGGAAATGAAGTGGTAGATGACCAGCCACCTGGACAACAAATTCAACAACCCCATATGCAATAATTGATATTGTCTTATCAACAACCAAAACACTCCTGAAAAAGTACAACAATAAATGAGAACTAGCTCTTCATGCTTCCATGTGGTCTACTGTATATGGGCTCAGATTCCAAAGTTTGAAAACCAATAAAAACAAAAATTTCACAATACCATAACTAATTTTAATCATCAAAGTTAATACTTACGAGGCACCTGACATTTTCTTGGTGTCCTGTGGACTGTTGTGGGTTATTACAGTAGTTTGTTGGTGATTTATGTGATTAGCTGGACTCACAGGGAGACCATTATGTTGGGATGTTACCATGTCAACAGCTTCAGTCATGGCACGATGTATGATATTATTAGACTGTGCTGCTTGGTTCATTTTGAGTTGCTCCTTGAGACGCTGCAAAGTCAAAACAAAGCAACTACATGTAAAGTGGCAACCATTTTGTTACATTCTTTCATGTTGTTAAAAAGGTAACTAAAAGAGATATAGGACTTGCAGCAATTTAGCCTGATGACAGTAACTGGTGCCAGAGCAGCAGGGAACAAAACGAAGAGAAAGGTTTAGGCCAGGTCACATAATGAACCAACCCACACCTCCCTAGCTTTTTTACTTCACCTCTTCTGTTATACCATTTACTACTGGAACAAGCACACTGCAGGTTACATTGAATTGAACAGTTTAAACAGACAGTGTAATAATGCTCACTGAATCAACAGAGAATGGACCAATATATAACTTGGACTATTACCCAATCTGCAGATAAGTGACACAGATAGACAGAGGTTTGTATAAGATGCACTGACTACGAGGATTGCTAATCCTCATGGATGAGATACCACGCTGACCCAGGCTTTTTTATCCCTGGTAGAAGAAAGGTATCAAGCCTTCCATCACCAAGATCTTATTTGTAATTCTCCTCACTGTCTGCCACAGAACTCTTAAAATGTTAGTTCATAGAATTTGGTATTGGGTCAGCTACATGTCATAATACCCTAATCAACATTAAGCAAGTGATGAGAATGTAGAAAATTTTTTTTTATATTCTCATCACTTGTCTGCTTGATATTGTAATTGAATTGTCTGCTTGAATTGTAAGGAGAATTTCTGTCTTGATCACTCACGGGAGTTCAAGGGTTAAGAAAGCAAGAGTGAGAATGCAACAAATGCCTCAAAAACCCAGGCCAAGCCACACCTCTCTCAGTTAGGTATTCTCACTGTAAACAGTCAGCTGTAATTGTGGATTTACCAACCACAAATTTAAATGTATGATTGAGGCATCATTGAAAATATCACCCATACAATGCAAGTTAACACACCTGTTTAGCACTGCCCATGAAGGAAGGTGGACTACTTGCACTGGGGCTGCTTACAATAGCTGGGGTGGGGATGGATGGAATTGGCATTGAAGACCTTGTGGAGTTAAGGCGTCCGTGTAAATGACTTGGCACTGGTAGTGCAGAGGGGACCTGAGCATCAGGAGCTGCTATAGAGGCTGGTATTGCTGGTGGAATGTGCGGTGGGACTCGCACAAGTACTGACACCGGAGCAGCAGATATGATGACTTTTTTGGTGTCTGCTGCGGTGTTATTTTCCACAGGTGGTGTAAGTTGAAGTTTAGGCTCAGCTTCCTCAATCACAATGACACTCTGGGTTGGAGCCCCATTGCTGGCAAGAGAAGCTTGATTATGATCAGACAAGTGAGCTGAAGAGTGAGATGTGGATGAGTTGGATGGCTAAAAATTAAGAAAACAAAATGGATTTATGTCACTTTAACAGAACAGTTCACATGCCACACTTAACCTCAACCATTAAAAACATGATGACTTTGGGTAAAAGTAAAATAGTTTAAGATTTTATGCAACCTGTTACAAGACTAAATGAAACAGTTCAAAGTTTCGTTATGATCATCTCACTTCTATGTAAATAAATAAAAAAAGAGCATTATCACCAACAGAAATGTCACATCATTCACATGCAAGTATATCACATTCAGTGAGCAGCAAATGCAATGTTTATCACCACTATGACCTTGTCAAATGATTGTAAGTGACATGACCACATACCTGATCAGCAGCTCTCTTGAAATCCTGAAATGAACCAGGCCAGAAAAAAAAATTCGCATGTTTTTACTACTGATTTACAGTTATTTTACCTGAAGTTGTTTCACCAACAGTTTAATACTACCAGGATATCATTATTGTGATGTCATGATGAATTCCCCCGCCAAAAATAAAGGCAATACACAATGTGTATGCAGGGTTCAAAATGATTTTTAAGTTTTTAGCAAAAACTTGAAGGCTTTTGTCAAGGCTCATTTTTTCCCCAGCTGTCAATAATAAATGAGCAGTCAGCACATGTCTTCAATACTCAACATGATTAAGTTGCTAAAATAATTTTAGCATCAGAATCTTTAATTTGATTAACATGTTTGCTGTAGCAATTCCCTTTCGAACAAAGCACAGTGAACGGCTCAATTTTTCAGTATTTATTCAAGCATGAAACATACAACTTTGTCTATACAAACTATCATGCTTCTTCATTCGCATTTGTGGGAACTCTGCATTGTCAAGCAACGACTTTAATTTGAACTCTTAAGAAGGCTCTACAAACGACATTAAACAGGATTTGGTGGAAAATAAATCTTGATTAAAGGTAGTATGTACATGTAGAAACAAAAACACTGTACTGTGATAGTGTGTACACACACTTCCATGTTTCACGCCTGCACAAATATGTATGTAAATGCACAAATATGCACAAATATGTATGCATGTACTGTAAACAAAAATACTCCCTGTAGCACGCTTCAAATTTCAAAACTTTATACTCCTTTACGTTTCCAAATAGCTTTTAAAACATTTCTTAGCTGCTTTATTGTTTGATATGAAATGTTCACCATAACATGACATTGACTTTTACTCCCTGTAGCAGCTTCAAATTTCAAAACTTTATACTCCTTTACATTTCCAAAAAGCTTTTAAAATATTTCTTGGCTGCTTTATTGTCTGACATGAAATGTTCACCACAACATGACAGTGACTTTGCTTCAGTTGGATGATCAATAAGCTTAATATTTTCTGTAAAATTCTAGTTCTTTGGTGAAAAGTTGCCAGCAAGTGTGCTAAAAGTTCTGCCTGCCACCAGCAGCTGGCTGTTATTTTGAACCCTGGTACGTGTTCAAATTGACCGATGCATACTGTAAATGGCTAACTCATGGCTTGCACAAATTAATTGGTTAACTCAAAGCAAATTCATGGCTTGCACAAATTTATTGTACCCTTTCTGTACTGCAGCATTTTGAAAAACACTACTTGTTTTATTTTTCAAAGTTCAGAGCTGTTCGAGGCTAGTTACCTTGCTCAACTAAGTTCACAGTCATATAATTGAATGCAAAACCCTAAACACACCTGATCAAATGGATTGTCCAAATCCTGGAATAATCCTTCCTCTTCACAATTCCTTAAAAATCTAGTTGGTGTTGGTGTCTGATCTGCAAAGAGGATATGATATAGGAATGACCATATTACACAATAAAAAAATGGAAATGTTCATCTTGATCTGCTGAAATAAAGTAATGGCAACAGTGTAAATGCACACTTATGTGGATTTACTTTACTTGCTATGTACTAAAATAGTGGATAGTGTCGAAGGTAGGCTCTGACTGGCTTCTCAAACTCAGAATATCTTTTTCTAGTTACAGAAATAAACGAGTGAAAATCATCTTCTTGTACTAGCAATTAAATCTCATTGTTTTAACCTTTACTAAAACAACTATGCACCTCAGTGTCAGTGGTATAGCTGTGGATATTTACCTTGCCGCTTACATCATATATCCACCACTACCCACCTCCACTTCCATGAATAGTTGTTAATTATTACCACTGCTTAGAAATTAGTACCAGCAGCGATACAGGAGAAAGTACAAAGTGAAATTAATCAAAATGTATTCAACACACTGTCCTATCTTTATAGCAAAGGCATTCTATGTACTCTGCCACATTAACTAGACAAAGCAGAAAGCTTACGTGTTTATTCACAACAATCAGCTGGATAATGATTTACCAATTGCCCAAACACACTCAGAGATGTGACATAGTTTAGAAATATTGCAGAATGCAGAATGTAGAATGCAAACTGAATTAAAACACACAACGGAAGTGCCACCACTTTCAATTCAATTACGAAAATGTAATTAGCAAGTGTAGCAAATGTTTTAATCTTTCAAGTACATAATTATTTATGTTACTTTCTCTTCCAAAATATGGCATGCAAAGACAACTACGAGTTAGCACATCAACCAACACCATAACAAGGTACTTGAGACCTCATTACACCGGGGAAACTATAAAACAGAATTTAACACGTGAGAGACAAATATTAAATATGTTTGAAATCAAGTTGAGTACAATGGATTAGAATCATCCAAATCACTCACGACCTATACAAGTTGTTTAGGGGATAAGGAAGCAAAGGAGCTAATACAAGGTAAAGAATAAGATTTATCACGAACAGTCATCAGCTCAATTAATTTGTAACTACCGCACGCACGTACAAACTAACAAAGGATCTGTTTGGTCGTAAGTGTGCCAAATATAAATTTGGTGTGATCTTGGAAACGAAGGAAAATTACCTGCAACAGTTAAATCTGTTCCTTTAAGAGAGCCGAATTTAAGAGTTAACTGGTGCTTTTGTTTGTGTCTTTCCAGGTGATCGTTGTTAGCGAATCTCTGCGGAGAGAAGAAGGTGAAAAGTTGGCTAAATGTAGGCTTACGTAAGGCTTGGAAACATCTACAGGTGACGACATCACTTTAAAATTAAACCAGTCGCTTCCAAACTCCCCCAGGAAGAGATATATGACAGGAACAAAAAGTATTCAGCCTTACTTGTCCACATCCAGGAGTCGTGCACTGGAATGGTTTGTCATCACTTTCCTCCATTTTGAATCCTTCCTTCCTCATAAACCTTCAGAAATCAACATTTAAAAGAGCCACAGAAACCTCAAAACCGTCAGAATTTAAAAAACCCATTTAAGGGTTGCTCTCGAGACCTTTCTTAGTCTTTAAATAAGGGCAAAAATGAGAATTCTACTCTTCAGAAAATGTAAAATTTCCCCCCAAAATGGATCTTTCCCTCGCGTCTCTCAATGCATATTTTTGTCACATGACGTAATTACATGGGAGTTCGTGACGTCAGGACGCTCACCTCGTTTTGGCGTTCCGCGCTATTCATTTTACTTTCACTTCCGCTGTAAAGATAGTGTGTGATTGGTGCTCTGGGTGATTATGGCAATCAGTAAATCTGACTTGTTTCATTTTGATTGGGTAAAACTGTTAAAACGGAAGCCTTCTTCTTTATTTGAGGGAAAACCCAAAATACGGTCTAAATTGATCAAAAATAAAACTCGAATCATTTATCGAGATTGAAAGAGGTTTGTTTCACTTTAGAGAGATGAATAATAAATTCACAATGTGAAAGGATTCTAAAGGTATCTAAACAGTGTCCCGTGTAGGTGATGAAAATATTTATCGCCTCAAGCTCTGCTGCGGTGAGTCCATATTTACTGCTTTGATCAGGAATATACGGTGGAAACCCCGCTATTGCGAATTACCACAGGGTCTAGGGAAATTTTATTCGGCCGTGGTTGTACTGACAGACAGCAGGACCTTTGTCAGCGGCCGGTGCTTCAAAGTGGAAGGAATACGGCTTAAGGCTGGTGATTGCGACGATGAAAGGAATAATACAGTTTCAGTGTAATTTAGTGGTCTTAACATGGAATACTATGTTTTAACATGGAAAGACCGCACATACATGATAAGTTATATTACCTAAAAAATCAAGACTGCTGACCACAAAGTTTTGCTAGATGAAGGCTGATGGAAAAGGTCATTGCGAAATGCGTAACAATTATTTTCAGAGGACAAGGGGAAAATAATCTGGAGAATATAGCTTATCAAAACAATAAAACTAGCTAAAAATATGGCTGAAATATGATTATCGTACTTAAAAGTTGTTCAAAGAAACGGAAAAAAAATTCCCACCAATAGGCCACTTTCGATACATCAAAATTCTAACACGGCTTCGATGCTAGGGGGGATAAAACAAAAGCAATTAATTATTCAACTCTCGACATCGATGTGATTTCTTTTGTCAGTTTATTTCCTCAAGCTTCGGAGCCAGGTTTGAATTTTGATATATCGCGAATGGCCTTTTATGGTGGACATCAATTTTTCACTTGTATCAGCTCTTTTGAGCGAGGGCGGGCAAGGGAGTGGGTGAAGGGGCTATTTGAAAAATAGCACAGTCAAAGTGTTTATTACTAGGTTGAAAAATACAGGGAGAAGTTGGCGCGTTTTTATCTTATTGTTATTATTCATGTCCTGTGAAGTCGTTTGGATATAAAAGAGGGGTTGCAGCTGATAACCAAAAATACGATGATGTGCTCAGAAGAATCGTCTGTACACATGTAATGATGCAAGTGACCCCCCCCCCCCATAATTACTAATCACTTAACCTACTCATTAACAAAACAGTGAAACCTTTTCCAGTTAAGGTCAAAACAGAGATTCAGACAGGGTGTGCAAAGTCAGTCGATGACCGTTAATTTTACTTGAGTTGATGGCTATTCCAATTTCTAGTTCTAAAGGTATAGTTTACACTGAGCTTTGTTTTATTAAGATAAAGATGATTTCATTAAACCTGTGATCATCCAATCCAATTTGGTATGCCTGTCGCAGAGGTCTCGGTGAATGGTTCGCTCGAGCAGTTGAAATTCTTTTTAAGCATACAGTTGGAATAAGAGAATTTGACTTTGGATTACTGTTGATGTGTTGAATTATCCTTGAAGTGGTAATTATCCCTGAGCACATTTCATCTTAACAAAGGAGACTACCGGTAGGTTTGCGGGTTGTTCAGCAGGTCATAAAAAAAATACTAATTAAGAAATGTGTTTAAAGCTCTCATATGCACTTACGAGACAGACATGAGGGACAGACATATTTTAACAGTTCATGGGGAATGTGCGATAGAATCTGATCAAAGAAATATTATTTTCTTTTCAGCTAAAGAAGAAAAGAGATATACGTCAGCTTTGAGTTAAAATTTTAGTTAAATCTCTCTCACGACGAGGAGCTTTTGAACTAATTTTTCTGGTGTGAAGGAAGTTTATCATTATCGAATGTTGATTAACGACAAATACAGACATAGATGCCTGACTTTTACGATTATAAACAGACCTAATTAAGTAAAACATTTTATTGACTTGCATGGAGACTAATTTCTCCTTCGACTCCTGGTTAAGGGCATATCACAAAATCTGTTTGTTCCTCTAACAAAGACAGTCTTCTACTCAAGGAGCCCATTACTTGGTTACTGTCAGCTCTTAGTGGAAGGTAAAAACCTGCAAAAAGTGATGAATTGTTTCGTTTTGTAACGTCACCAATAGTTATCATCAATCAATTCCTAGTTGAGAATCTCGAAACCGCATTATTTTTCCTGTCAGGCTGAAGTGGAAAGGGATATTGTGAACGATTCAACGGAACCGACTGCCAAGATAATAACCTTAGATCTCTTTCAGTAGGTTTTTTTTTATCAGAAAGCAAAGGAAGTAAATGTCTTTCAGCTGGCTAAACTCGGGGAACTCTAAGCTACAAGCGTATAGTATTAATTAGGACGATCATCTTCATGCGCATGATTATGATGTCGCGACTTCAGTCTCAGCATTAGAGGAAAAATCATCTCGCATTCTGACACACGAATCACTTTTGCGCATCTAATTTTTTTGCCAGTGAGCCCCAATCATTAAAAACTGATTCAAACACAGTTACTCAGTCTCTCACGTGATCATAATCTAGCTAGTCTTCTTACCGAAATTTCCCTAAGTTTTAGGTGAGAGAGTCATTGTATCTCTACGTCACGCTCAGGCTATATCCTAGGGCGTTTCATGCTTGCGGTCTTGACGTGTTATCAAGCGTGCGATGTTACACAAGGAGTGGTTCCTATGCTCCAATTTGCCATGTGACCGTTTCGGAATTTATCCGTCGGCGTCCAGCATTCTGTAGGATGTCCAAACTTTGAGGGCTTACCATGAGATGACTTACGTTAACTCCTCAAGGCAAAAAATAGTCAGAAACAGACAGCAGTCACTGAAAAGCGAAAATGCAGGTTCGAAACTGGGGTTCGCTGAGGCTGTTTTCAGGTTCATTCGAGGGTAACCAGGCGAGAAAATGAGATTTAAAACTTGAGTCACTTATAACGTTCGAATGAAGTACCAGCGCACACATTATTTCAACTCAATTGTGAAGAATAAGGGAGAAGGTAGGTTAAAATTTTCGAATTTTCCTTTGTTTCTAGCAAATTAAAGAACTGACAAATTCTAGTTGATGTTGGCGGCGAGTCACTACAGCAATAGTTCCTATCAAGGTTGAAAAGAAAACACAGCGAAATGGGAGATAGGTAGAATCATTATGTCGCAGTATTGGCGCAAAAGAAAAAAAGATCTATGAGCGATCTTGCTGTATGTTTATTGTCATGAAGTCATTCTCCATCTCCTCAAAAAAACTTTAGAACCGCTCTGGGATCTCACTCAACTCGTTACTTTCCGAGAAATTATTTTCCATTGATATCTAAGGATACATTCTCTCTTTTCTTAATTAGAATGATACCAACAATCATACAAAGGGGTCAAGGCAAAGAATTTTAAGCCAGAATGTTAGATACCTGTGTTCCGATAAAAAATAATCATTTTTTTCGCTCGAGGAAAAGGCGCTCTTGTTGGTGAATATTGATTCTGGAATGCCAGATCCAAAACATTCGCACAAAACCAACTTAATGCGATGCGTGCGCCGATGTATTGATATGAGTATGAAATTCTCTTCTCCTCTGGCAAGGAAGTGAAATTTGATATATTTTCCCACCTTGTCGACAGATCACCAATGATAATATCCATTTGTCTCAATTTCAAAGTAACATTTACTTCACGTGACAAAAATCTGCTTTGAGACGATTGACCGCGCGAGTGCCTGGCACGACATGGGACCTGCTGTTGTACCTGCCGTCCCATGTCTGTTTTCACGCTTTGAAGATCACGGGAAGTGGTCTCAGTAGAGTTTGTTTTTGTGTATCTCAGGTTACACAAGGGCTGATATGACCCGACTGCCGTTCGCCTATCTGTTGCTTTGCTTGGCCATCGGTAAGTACTTCATAACACTGTTGAATCAAATAAATAACGTATACCCTCTTGAGAGGAGTTATCTGCCCTGGCGCGATATTCTGGATATGATCTGATCCGCAACAGTAGATACAAAAATAGCCCTAAGGTTTCTTTGTAAGTCTTCGTTTTTGATGTGTTTTTATACTACGTTTACAAGAATAGTTTAAAATGTTATCCTATAGAGCATAATTCAATGGCCGGGGATAATTTTCTTGCACAAAACTATCGTATAACAGTAATACCCTGAGAGATATGGTTGAACAAAAATAATCTCAACATGACGTAATTAACTGTTCTTTTTTTTTTTTTTTTAAATTCACCTTTTAACTCTTTGTCCACCCTTAAACTTTATAAGTAAAGATAACGGACCCGTGTTGAAACATCAGAAAACATTCTTACTTTGTTTTCCATGTTGCTTTTACTGCTGACTGGGTAATATTTCTTCGTTTTTCTGGCATGTCGGAACACCTAAGATATGAGAAAATAAATCTACAGGGTTTTGTTGAACGGAATTCATTTGGAGTGTTTACTCAGGAATGCATAATTCCTGTTTTTGAAAGTTTTAAATGTAGAGACTTAAAACATTTATTTAACAGTTCTGAGAAAATTTGGTTAAAAATCATCGCACAGTAGTGCGCTGTTGAAGTTTGACAACTTAGTGTTTCATACGTCTCGTCTCAGACAAAACAAGGCCCAGTGCCCGCTCTGTTGCGGGTCATAAACTAGGATGTTCGTTATGTCAGTAAAACTGGCCGCCATTTATCAGCTTAGACAAGTAGCTAGTTTTAATTGTATTGTCTCTCTTAAGTATGGACCTCGATGCGTGATCGGTCGTTCACCTGATTTTCCTCATCTTCCTTTTTTCTAAGCCAACAAGACTCGAAATCCGCATGGGATTATAGTCGATACCAGTGCTACAATTTTGTCAAGGAACATATTTATCACTCTCATTTATTTAAATCAGTCTCAGTTATGGAGTAAACATTATAGATAGAGAGTCCAGTGGGAATATTTGGGTGAGACCAAATGAATGTGCTGAGGACAACACGTCACTATACATAGGATGTTACTGCACTTTGTTATAAAACAAAATAAGTCATCGGCTGAATAGTTCGTAAAGCCATATCGCGCACGAATGAAAGAAAAAAGATAATAGGATACTTGCTTTGTCACAGTCACGTTTGTTTGTTTGTTGTTTCCTGATTTCCTCCATGATACTTTACGAAATTGAGAAAAATTGGCAAGACGCCCTACCTCATCAGTTTGGTGTTACAGCGACAACAAAGGCAAACACTAACACACACCAGATCAGTGAAATATCAACCCTATCTTAATATCACGGGGAAAAAAAAACTAACAAAGGCAAGTACGGACAAAACACGATTCTACTTAACTGCAAATTTATGCGCGCCACGCACATCAGTTTTATCATACTTCTCTAATTGTGATTATCAAAACCAATAACTTAACGTTTTCTTACCAAATTTCTTCACTGTGCAGTCGTTTTCAGTAGCCCTGTGACTTTTGCTCTTTCATTTTAACCCATCAACACATCTATCTCAATGGAAACACTGATCAGGCTGAAACAATCAGCACAATTTGTTGAAACACTAATCCTTCCCCCTTCGCGCATAGTACTACAGCTGAAACACCCCAAATAATAATAGAAAAACAATTTTTGCTTGCAACGGAAGAACTTGTTATGAGCCCAGAACCAAAATTTGTTTGATTCCCAGGCAAAAATGCTATGTTCCGACAATTTGTGATACATTGTAGGCCAAATAAGTTTTTTGGGATACCACACCTGTGTGTGACAGATTTAACATTCGACGTAACTTTCCATTGTTTCGTTTACAAGTCGCATGCGCACAGCAAGCAGAACGGACGACCGGAAGTGACGTCACAGACGAGGAACCTCACCCATATACTATTTCGTTCTTCCTGTTTCCACATCACGAGACTGTTGAACTGTCAGGCGGGAAAGGGAAAGTCACGAATGTCACTCAACATGATAAATCAAATGACCTGACTAAAGGTAACTATCCATGGGCCCTGACAGGAAAACCTGACCGCTTTACAATTTGTTGAAACCCTGATAGTATTAATCGTTTTTGGCAAATGAAGCTAACTTCATTTGGCAAATGAAGCTAACTAAATACGTAAAATTGACAGTTCTGATTGAAAATGGACTTAATAACTCCCTCGTCACAAACCTTTGACTAAATCCCTCGGGACTATTTTGTGCAAACTTCACTCTTCACTTTCTTCAATTTTTTTTTACGTAAGTGAAGCATAAACAACAAACAAACAAACGAACAAAAGTGGCAAAACATGCCTTTTTTCGGATAGGCCACCATTGTTATCTTGGCTCGTCTCTCTAAGTGAAAACAGGATCTCAGAATGGCTGATTTGCAAAATGTTATCAGGGATTCGTACATTTTCGATAAATATCGTAGCTATTGCTTATGATAATAGTAGAAGCCAAGAATGAGCAATTTTTCCATCACATACCTTAAGATTCTCATAATCTATGGGATCCAATCTTAGATACCTTAGGGTCTTTATATCTCTAAGACCCGAATATGAATGATTTCATTACAAATGTCACCTCACTTAATAATGTGAAATATTTTCTAATCGGTATGTATCACAAATTCAGAGATTTATCGACGTAGCCTGACAAAGTGTTGCTAGCTATACCAAGGTAACAACCATGGTAAATTTGACGCTTTCTTTTGTAGCAAAAGGGAAAAATCCCTCTGGTGATCTCGCTCAGGAGGATGATCCGGACATATCTTACCAGCATGGTAGCGTGAAACACCCCGCCCATGAAATGTATCCCATGTGTCATCACTGTCCGATGAATTCCACATACGACGAATGTACGCATAAACGCACGCTCAAGAAATGTGATGATGGTCTTTCTAATATCTGCTTTACAAAGAGTACAAAGCGAAACAATATAGTTCATTATCATATGGGTTGTGCCAACCACAAGCAATGTCAGAGAGCTCGTGCTAAACCATGCAAAGGTAAGTAGTGTGAGTTAAAGCCATTATCATGTTCAGGTTTCAAGCTTTCCACTATATTAAAAAAAAGACAGTGAACAATATAGTTGGCTTTTTATCAATCAAAATTATTTCATATGGTATATTCTTGGCTTTTTACATCAAAAAATTATTCATTGCATAAAGGAGATATATTGTCGCGGGAAAGTTCTTTTCAGTTTCCATTTAGCTCACCGCGCTGAAAATTTGCGGAATCATTCTAACCACTGAATATGGAGTAAGAAACGCTTTAAATTGTTTTACTGACAGTCTATTCGGGAACACATAAACAGACTGGGCGAATGAGACGTATATCGTTAAAACGACCTTTACCGCATTATTTTATAAGAAAATTATAACAAACGTTGGCGTTCATTTTTGCGCACGTATGTATCCAAAGTATCTTTTGGTTCTAAGCGTTGTTTCTTTCATTCCAGTTCACGAGAAACGCTGCTTCACTTGCTGCCAATGGAGCGGATGCAATTCAATGTCTCACCATGGAGACACAACTGCTCTTTCATTCTGGAATGCAGGTTGCGTGATTACTATCGACTGGGTTACCCTGGGTATCAGCTTGGTGACCTTTGGTGTAGTTTATTTCATTTAAAGAGGACAACCTTCAACAGTAACATGTACATAGAGTTTGGCCGACTCAGTCTAACAATACAAGTGGACTTTGGTTGTATTCTTGAGATTTTAAGGACTTCATTTGACCATGCTTACCCTCAGGCAGCGACAATATCTCTTACCTTTTCATACTGACCGGATGGAACTTAAGAATGTCTTTAAAAAGCTGTTGTAATATACCTTTTTGACCGTAAATAATGTGGGAGCGGACATATTTTGTGAAACAAACCCCGAGCAGTTTATTAGGGAGTGGTTTTTCTAAGTGTCCTTGAAGCATTCATTGTTTTCTCGGAACGTGCAAACGCCAAGATTTACATAGAATTGTCACAGGAAGATTCACTTTACAATTTCTGAGGCTCTAGTAAATCGGGCGAATGATAAACTGAAGCTTAACAGTGTCTTTCCTTGCCGATAATTTTTGTTGTTCATCGAGTGTTTAGCAGGTCTGTGAGTATTCAGGTATGTGAACAATTTCTTAGGCATTAACGGGCTTCAGCTCTTTACTGGAAAACCTTAGTCAGTTATACTCAGCAACAAACAGAGCCGAAGTTGTTTGGTGTATGAATCTAATCATAACAGCATTAAAGCACATGCCTCTTTGTTCAGTTCCTGAATAAGAAAAGCCTCAGTGGCTGAGCGAATAAAGTGAATAACAACTGGCACAGAGATACATTCCACTCTTTGATTCAATGATTTGATTGCTTTCTTTAATGAAAGTAAGCTTTAAGTTTACTCAAAAGTAAGACGTACAACTTCGATTGAATTGCGTAACTTCAGCACATTATACCAACCCTTGACGAAATTTTTCAGCCGTTTCAACCAAGGAGAACGTGTTCCTTTACGACATTACAGTGGGATCCACACAGGGTTCAATTTTTTTGGCGGCTCGAATTTCCGAGGGGTAAGAACATGCATGAGGAGTGCGAACCGTTTGCAGCGTAATCTAGCGAGGAACAAAAATTAACGAAATTCTTACGTACGCAACACCCGCGTGCCAAACTAAGACATTCGTTTAGTTTATTCTACGGACAATAATCCAAAAATTTCATATGCTCTTTTACTCCGTTTGGAAAACTGATTCACGGTGACAAATTACAACAAACGATTATGCTTGTATTTAAAGAATGCCTCAAGGCTCTTCTAGTGATAGGAAATTTCAATGAAAAACTATGCTCTTCTTAATACGAGTATAGAATTTGTAGAAAGCTTCTCGTAGTCTGTGACTAAAGATGAAGAAAATGAATGGATTCACGGCAGTGGTGATGTTTGAAAGAATGTAAATAAATGTTATGTTTACAAACGGGCTCGTTCGGGTGAAACATGTCGAGCACCAAAACAGAGCCATTAGGATGATGAAGAACGGGAGCCGGCAACAGATCAAGGCGCTTATAACTATGGCCAATGTTTCAGCAGCTTTGATCTCCCGAGTCAGTGTAAATCGTCGATACTCTGAACAAGTGAGAGAGGCTCTGGTAGCGTCCTGCAGTTGGTGGATTTCCAATGTTCCAAGGAAACTGAAAATACGTAAGAATACGATGCTACTATGGTGAGCAAAGGAAGAAAAAATCCCACACAAGCGCCAAAAGTGTAAAAAGCCGGGTCTGGAGTCCTTTGGGATCCTGATGGATTGTCTATAGAAAACGCTGGAATGGTAGAATTAGTCAAGTTTTTTAGTCCGAGTGAAGCTATCGCATCTCCATGAAACCAGATATAGATAATTATCAACTGACCCCTTCTCTGGGTTATTATTCGGTGATACCTCAACGGATATCTTGTCGCTACGAAACGCGGTCTAGCGATATTAGTGCTAGGTTCGCGAAACAGGTGCAGCGGCAAGCTAAATCTGCCCAAATCCAGAAAACACAAGTGCTTTCATTGAGGCACCAATGCGTGTTATGCAAACTTTGATGTGTTCGCGTTGGTACAACGAAAAAGGCAACCATCAGGTCTGATAAAGTAAGTGACATAACGAGATTGTTTGAGAAGCGATGAAGAGTTTGATTGTAGTAGATTGAACAGCATATGGCAGAATTGCCAATTATGGTAGCAATGGTAATGTACACCAAGAAAAACGTCTGTGCCACGTACTCCGGTCTAGTTCCTTCATAACACGTTATCGGCTTCATATCATGGGGATCCGCGGCTGAGTTCACTTTTGCCAAATCATCCATCATGACCATTCACCAAGATATCATAGAGACAGAAAATCCTCACACAAATTGTATATGAGATATTTTTTGCGAATCTTGCTAGAGGTAATCTCCGTTGTAGAATGCAGCCACAATCAAATTTTTTTAAGAAAATTGTAAATATAAAAATGTAGTTTACGTTTTAACCCCCTTTTATACTCAGGGGTTAGTGTGAATGCACTGAGCGCCTCTCTCCGCCTACAATGAAATGATTTGCAAATTGTCGGAACGACGAATTTCAAGAGAAGTTCTGATAAAAGCTTTTAAACTGATAAGGAATTCTTTTGTTGGTATTTCCGTATTTTCTAATCAAATGTTACCAGAGGGGGCGCCATTGTTTTGATGGTAAATACCCAAGTCAAACAAACCATTTCAACCATATTAAAATTCACACTCGGTATGAATATTATATATA